TTCCCCGCGTTTGTCCTCCATCCCGCCGTTGCGCCGCGCAGGCGCACTTCGACGCATTAACGAACGTCGCGAAGATTCGTGTATATCTTATCAGCCGGCGATATAATTAACAAGCATGTGAGTCGATAATGTATTCGTAAGGTTATCGCGAATGCGATTTGGCGTACGTGCATTGGTCAAGCTAAATCGTGCACGAGGTCGAATTTTATATTGCACGCGATTACAGCCGTCCCGATTTAAGCTTGCCCAGCTTTTTCGCCAGTTTCTTCCTCAGCTCCGTGGTGCACCGCTGCAAATATGGTGTGCACCATGGAAAATACGCGTCACGTTGCCTTTATTTTCATCGCGGAGATCTGGTATCACGCGGATGCACGGAGTTAATGAGAATAACCCCGTGTACGTGTCGCATAGGTGTGTATACATGTTTGGTTGTTGTGTGTTTTCAGACTTTATGAAGAGTCGTAAACGTAGCCTAAACGGTAGCGCGAAGAGCATGATAGAGCCGCCGGAGAAGATGGCTCGCAACGCGGGTCAGATACGCAGCTAAAAGCCTTCCAGCTTCCTCCTTCAGCCTCGCTGTCTTCTTCCATCTGTTTGGAGCGCGAGTGGGATCGGAAGCACGAAGCATCACTGCCAGGAGGAACGGGAAAGGCAGAAGCTCTGGCAGGAGGCGCGAGGTCCGTTGGCTGTGCCATTCACGTAGATTTATCCGCCATGAATGTAGGCGAAAACGGTGGGGTTTAAAAAAGGAACGAAGTAGTGCCGTTTTTTCATTGCGTATACTTTCGTAGCCATGCCACGGAAATTACAAAGTAGCAACAACCACCATAATTAAGGGGGACGAACAGAGGAAGAACGATATTCCATGGTTGTTGCTATCTCCCTTTTTTTTTTCTTTTTTCTTCTTTATATATATATAATAATATATATAGTTATAAATATATATATAAATATATATATTATAAATATATATATATCTCATTCGTGTCGTTATGTTCTTTTGCATTAGGCTAGACAAAGTAACGATTACAATATATATATATATAGCGACAGAGAGAAAGGATGAGTGCGCGAGCGAGAGAGTGAGAGAGAGAGAGAGAGAGAGCGCGTGCATGCAGGTTTTTCACGAAATTAATTAATGTAATATATTGTCCGTTTAATTCTAAAACGAAGCGACGAGTGACGATGCGAGATCGTTACACGCGTACACTTCGATGCGAGATGTGTCAGGAGACAAAAATATATAAATACTTCTTAGGTTACGCGTAGATTTTAAGACTAGGTATTAAGCGAGAGTGCATTGCGTTTCTATCGATAACCACTGATTTGCGAATTTTTCATTTTCGAACAACTTTTTGGAAGAGGCTGCCTCCGACCTTAGACTCCGTGGCTCCTCATCGACCCAAATGCTCGACGAAGATCCACGGTCTGCTCTGATGTATCGTTCATAAATCCTAGCTCGATCGATCCTACGTATTTCGCGATATTTTCGACCGTGTTTCTCTCGAAACGATCGCGAAATCGACGGTTTTATACGTCTGTGTAGCACGAGACGAAATTTCCCTCGGAATTTTTACACGTTTTAGAAGACGACAGAAACGCAGGCATATACTTTTGTAGCCGAAAAGAGACCAGTCTCGAGGACAATTAACGGGGAGAAAGATATTAGATTGTAGTTGGTTACCCATGTTTAAGCATTGATCTCCTGTACGATTTTAAGAGAGTACAGCCGATGCCAAATCACCCCCCGCGAATATTTTCTCACACCTTGCACCCTTGAGGAAGGAACCCTTCATCGTATTCGGCACCCCTTTCTCCTCCTTTCTTCCTCCACCGCTCTTC